TAATTCATTCCTGACTTTTGCGGGGATGGGTTGCCACAGCCGAATGTTTCCCCCAAAGGATGCCGTGAAGACCCATGTTTCATTGAACGCCCGATTGGATTTCAACATCAACCTCTCAATCTCTTCCTTTTCTTCTTCTCTGTCTCCCCCACCTCGCCAGGCGCTGTATTGCACGCTTCCGCTCCAGGGGCTGCCCCCCCCCGAAACCTAGATCCTGCGCTAGCTGCTGAATCAAGGAGCCCCCCGTGGCTTGTCTGATCCTTGAAGTTTAGCCCATGGGACCCTCTCGTCTACTTATTTGAATTCTCGGCTGTAAACCAACTCAACTCGGGGCTGGGGGTCTGGTGATCTGTGCCCACAATTTCCCTCGAAACAAACAAGGGGTTAGTTTTCTGTGAAGTCTCCATTCCCTCAAAGGTTTGTGATTTGTACCTAACAAAGTGTATGAACCTTTGAGGTGATACCGCCCTTCCCGTTTGAGGCTGTCTTGCAGGAGCTCCAGGAGGTGCCTCAGGTGCCTCTCCCGCAATGCCCGAATGATTGTGGGCTGGTCTCCGGAGTCTTCTCCGGCCCAGCCCGGCTGAAGCCTTTGCCTTAGCCTTGGCTTTCGCAGCAACTTTTGCTTTCGCTTTTGCTTTTCCTTTTGCTACTGCCTTTGCTTTAGGATATGGGTTTGCAGGTGGACAACGACCACTGAAAAGAAGGAGAAAACCCGCCGCGGCGAGGTAGAGGTAGGCGAAGATCAGGGCCAAAGGCTGGCCGCCCTCCCGCACAGATTACGCTATCACTGGGAACGCCTGCCACAACCCCTCTACACGCACCTAAACCCAGCCGCGCCCCATATGTGTCCCTCGCGTTTCGCGCGTCCTCATCCTCAGCTGGACTTTCCGAACCTTGGCGATTGAAGCAGATGCTTCTCTCTTCCTCACGTGCTAGGCCCCCAAGGTTCAGTTTGCGCAGCAACAGGAGAAGAAGCTCGAAAATGTTCGGACGGCCTGAAGGCCGCGCTGGATACCAGCTCAGGAGCAGCCCCCGCTACAGCAGGAGTCGCTCCCAAGCTAGATTCAGGAAACCCTCTCCCGCCTTGGCAGGAGGTCCTCCCGGACAGAGAAGAATGGTGGGGTCGTCACCGGTTGCAACGTCAGCAACCCGTGGATTTCCCGTAAGGTCCTGTTCAAGATCCCCACAACTGATTGAATGTTGTGCCCTTGCACCCTTGGTCTCTAGCAAGTTCACCGAAACCTCTGGATGCCCTACAAATCCCACAGACTGGATTGGTGTTGCGCCAGCGACCACAGATGGCACAAGTATGCTACACAGGTGGATTGTCCATTGCCACACCTACCCAATCAAATGAGCTATTAAGCCAAAACGTTCCGTGAGATTTCCCAAATTCGGGGTCCGTGGACAACCATTTCCAGTCATGGGTGGTTTATGGCATTGTTTTACCCACAATAATATCCCATCCCATTGATCATATACCCATTCATATCCCAATAAATCCCAATAAATCCCATTAAATAACCATTAAATAACCATGATATCCCAATCTGAAAAGTCGGTCTTCCGTGGAGGTCCTTCCGTGTGTAATCCACCGATCCACATCCAAAGATGGTCAGGACCCGAAATCAAAGATTTGTTTATCAATGAACATGTTCTGGTAAAAGAAAATCTAAACATGCCCAATTCCACCCGATTTTCGGGATATTTCGGGTGGAATTCTAAGTTTCGAGAACTTGAAACTGTTGGACCTCATCATTGGCTTTACCTAAAATGTTGTCGGCGTTGTCGAAGGCTTCCACACAAATCACTTGAAATATCTGTTTGCCACCTGGGCTTTTCCGTTAAAGAAATGAAGAGTCAAACAACTGTCAAACATATTCCAGTTCTACAACTGCCTGGCACCAGCAATATATCAATCCAGGGACCTCCAAAATGACCAATTCAGTAAGCCATCAAGGGGTCGTGAATGATAGCCTCTGATAATTTCTGACATTTTGCGAACTGGAAAATAACCCATGTTTTTCAGATAAGTACTCCATCAAACTCAATGAGCCCGTTTTCCCGTAGCTGGCAGTAATAAATTACTGGGGGGTACCCCAGTTTTTAGTGGAAGTAGCCCAGTGACCCAGGATGTCCAGGGAGTGTCCAAGGTGCCCATCGTTGGGTTTTCGAGCCGCCCTCTCCGCCAAGGTTCTGAAAGAGTTTTTTCACGTCCTGAGACAACTCACCTGGCAAGTTACCCTCAGACATGGAAGAAATGGGGGATATAATCGGACATAATGGAATATATATATATATACGTATATATAATATGTACAATGATGTACAATAGGATATGATATTATATAATGGGATGCCAGTGGAATATTGGATAATGCATGATACTAGTAGTTCACAATTAATGGCCCTCTGGTGTCAAACACGGCTGGAGAATCCACCATTAGGTCGTTGATTTTCCCATGTTTCAACCCCCCAAAGGGTGTTTTTCGGGGATGTCCCAAGAAAAAAACACGAAAAAAGTAACGTATTTCCATGGCTTGTCCATATGGTTGCTGGGTAGGCCAAACCCTGCAAAGCCATATGAGCCCATATATTTATCTGTTGGGTCTTCAACTTGCTGAAGTGGTCTTTGCAGCACTCCAAACTGGATGTAATATGATGTAACATGATTTAACCCCAAATGGTTTGGTTTAGGATGAAGAATGGCCCATCTGCTGGTGTCAACTCTCTTTTTTGCTCCGATGTTCTTTGAAGTTTTGTTGTTGAAAATCCAAAAATCCGTGGGAAAATCCCCATGAAAAGCTTAAACAACAACAAATCCATCTGGATGGTTCATCTTGTTAAATCCATGAAGTTTTCTTTGAAAATCCAGCTCTTGGGGGTATCCCCATGGAATCTTTCCGGAGGTCCAAGTCCTCGAGCCTTGTCGGATCATGGCCATCAACGGCAGCAGCGCGCTGGAATCCTCTGCTGTGCCTGACGACGTGATGAACGTGGGACGTTTCGAAGGGCAGACTTCAGCCATTTATGATGCTTGTAGGTTGTAATGTAGAAAGGGGGGGTTCCATAAATGGAGGATCCCAATAATTCCAATTAGCTGGATGCTTTATTTCATAGAAAATCCTATTATATCCTATTAAAAAGGATGATTTGGGGGGTAACCCCCATGGATTGGAAACCCCCATCATGAATCATAATGGTGTATACCTTGCTGGAATTTTGCATGTCCAATGGTATCTCGGACAACTCCGAAGTTGTCACTTTCCTGGAATATCAATGAAAACGACGAATGTCCAAAGAATATGTGTGATTTCACCTGGCCAAAAATAGGGGGTTCACCAACACAAATTAAGGAGTAACCATCATATGTAGATATGATTGGATGGGTTACCGGGATGAACTTCAAAATACCAACTTGATACGATGCATCAAATCATCAAAAATAGGATTAGGATTCAGAAATATTAAGCTGGTTGGTGGTATACCTACCCCTCTGAAAAATATGAGGTCGTCAGTTGGGGTTATTATTCCCAATATATGGAAAAACAAAAAATGTTCCAAACCACCAACCAGTTAAGAATCATCAAACAGAGATGGGGGCATAATGACCAACCATTGTATGGTGATATGATTGGGATATCTTTTGGGGATCTGATGGCATCGGCGATGCCGTGGGATATACTTTGATGATTTTGATGTACCATGATGGGTTTAGGGTGTGTCCAAAGATGTGAAATGGTCCCCAGTCTAAATTCTATGGCCATGAGAAGATGCCGTGGGAAAATCACAAGTCTCATCCACCTGCCCACAGCTTCGCGAAGCAGCAAATCCCGCCTGGCACGTCGCCATAGCCGCCCCTGGATCCGAACAAAAAGCAAGAATGGTTCCAGAACTGCAGCAAGTCATTTTCTACTGAGTCCCAACATTATTGTAGTGTTGATCATCTGGATATTCATCACTTAAAATATGTTGGAATGGGAATGAAATGTGTCTATGTCAAGTGATACTCATTGATCGTCGAGATCTCCATCTCCAGATGGATTTCGAATGTCGATTTCAACAAAACCATGGTTGAAAAAAAGGACCGGGTTCAACTTTAAATTTAAATAGTACCCTCTGGTAAATTGACATAGACCCTGGCAGTTGTCGGGGTTGGAAGACTAGTTTCCATTAAAAATTGGTGATTTTCAGGGTCTATGTTAATTTACCAGGGCGTAAGTTCCTCTGCTAGACTAAAATAGCACAGCCTCATTTAAAACTTCTACTTTGATTAAACAGCCCAGGGGGTTATGAATCCAGGGTTGATATTAACTATCATTGTGGTTGGAAAACTATTCGCAGCTCCGAACCAGTCCCTCCTAACCACCAGAGAAAGCCAAGGTCAGCCAACTTAAAGTCACTGCGTCTTGAAGTTTCCCGAACTGAAGAATATTGAGCATTCTGAGCTGAATACTATGAATTAAAATAGAATATAATAGCATTTGAAGATCCTACTGTTGATCCCACCGTAGAACATTGCCGGTGACCCATGTGTGATTTCTTTTATGGCAGTTCTCTTCCCGAGCGCCAACTTGGAAACCCCACATGTCGTCAAAACGCGGCTCCCAACACCCGGATCGAGAGCAAAAAAGGGGTCAGCTGCAGACGTCAAAGATGGGCCGTGCTGGTGAAAAAAGGGCATAAATAGGATACCTTGGAGTTGATCATCATTTCCCTCCTATTCAGATATGCCCCATGTTCAGATACACCCAATTTAGAGTCACTTGGGATATCTTGGGATATCGTGGTGATATTTTTCCACAACACCATGGTTTTCTGGTTGGTGGTATACCTACCCCTCTGAAAAATGATGGAGTTCGCCAGTTGGGATGATTATTCCCAATATATGGAAAAATAAAAAATGTTCCGCACCACCAACCAGATGGTTTTTGTGAAGCATTCTACAACCAAGACCTGCTGAAACGCTCATCTTGCACAGCCCCCATCAGCTAAACAGCCTGCTTTCCGCCAGTGCTTCATGTACAACTTCCTGCCGCAAGAAGTATCGAGTCAAGAGATGAAACGGACCACTTGACCCTGTGGCTACCCTTAGCTACCCTTCGCTGAAAGAAAACTCAAAATGCTCATCGCTGGTTGAATGTTTGAGGTAAATGACATTCTTCTACGATTCTGCTAAAAGATTCTCAATGTTTCTCGGTAAATTTCAAGCAGCCGCTCGGGTGAACCACCGAGCGATGATCGCCATCCCGAAAACCCAACCAATCAGCTGTGTCATGGTTTTTTTGTCCCAATGTCAAGTAGATATTATATATACATAAATATTATATATATATACATATTATATATATATACATATATTATTATACATATATTATTACATATAATATATATATATAATTAATTGATATCTGATGAATCTGATGATGATATCTGTAGAATTCCGTAGATATGTCTCCGTGATTCAGTTGCAATAGGATCCCCCCTCCATTCGTTGCCGTCCTCACAGCGCTGTGGCCATCGGGCCGTGCCCCATGGTGGTACTGACAGTAGTCCGAAGCGCCCTGCCTCCGCAAGGGCGCGATGAAGTCCGTAAAGGGAACCCACCGGATTAATCCCCAGAAACCGGCGTTTTGGTTGGTTAGTGACCATACCAGTGGGAACTTGAAATAGCACTGGTTGATGGTGATACCCTGTGGTAATTTAACTGGTTGATGGTGATACCCTGTGGTAATTTAACGTAGCTATTGAAAATGGCCATTTATAGTGGATTTACCCATGAAAAATGGTGATTTTCCATAGCTATGCTAGTTTATCAGAGGGTACCAAGAAAAAACCTCATCGAAATGTCGGGCCGGATTTTTTGGAAATAAAAATCAGATGTTGCTTTTTACTACAATAGAAATATATATGCTGAGTTTTCTGATACATGATGTGTGTAAAAATAACCACTTGGTTTCTGACGGCGATGGCCACCTCATGGGTTGAAAAACCATGAACAACTTGAATCTAGTCCCAGGTATTTTTAAGGGATTTAAGACCAAAAAACAAACTATGTAACTTACATTAGCTCATTATAACTAACTATGGACTATATATCTACTGTTTTTTGGTGCAACCCAAATTTAGTTGATGATGTCAATCGCAATTTCCATTGGTCTTATCCTCATTTATACCTGGCTGCAACCTCACTGCTGGCGACCCGCACCAGGAGACGTTGACCTGGAATTCGTCGGACAACCTGCGGCTTCGATGACGCCCTGCTAGAAGCCTCCATGAACAGTTGATTTCCCAGCCAGCCATGTTTGATTGCCGCAGGGTATACCAGTATACCCAAGAAGGATGTTGTGATTACTCAGTGGATTTTAGAGGCACCCTATTTAGACAAACCCAAATCATCACTGCACACTTGCTGTCGGGGATCCCCTCTGCTACAGGTTCCATCTGACGGCTGGAATGGAATCCCTCTGCCCCAAAACATGCGTCTCTCAACCCTCGTGTTTCAACGCGCAAGGAGGTCATGAAAGAGAATTTCACGTGGCCAAATTTGACAACCTCTTCTACATCTTAGCTTTGCAATCGTCGAGTTGAGATTGAGTTTGCCTCCAGATTCACGATCAATTTCAAGTGACAGCCACGTGACCAGGGATCAACGCTAATCATCACAAAATTTTGCTGGGTAGCCTCAAAAAACCTGGTGGCCAAACTTCAACTGACCAAAAATATGGTATACCTTTCGAAAGGCCATCGTGATGAGAATATGATGATAACCCGCCCCCAAATTTAACATATTTGAACATAGACCTTGCCAGATAGGGAGGTGGAAGCTGAGTTTCCACTCGATGTTTGCTATTTTAAGGGCTATGTGAAATAACCCAAAGGGTAAAATGATATTACCCTCCGGGTAATCAAACGTGGCAATGGAATTCTCCGTTGATTGGTTTTTTTCAAGCTAGAAACCTATATAAATTGATAGGGGGATGTTCCATGGCCGCGTTTGATGACACCAAACACGGTAAAAACCATCAGAAAACCCATGATACATCCAATAAGCCATAGTTAACCCATAGTTAAGCCCATTATAACCAGAGTCAACCATAGTTAACCCATAGTTAACCCCATTATAACCCCATAAAAAAATAAAACTTCGCTCGGGCTCCGCTTACGCCGAGCCGCAAGGTTGTCATCACAGACACGGGTTCCGCCATGACCTTGCTCTGGGATATTCGACTTTCATGGGATATCTAACTTAAAAATGTATGTGTGTGTGTGTGTTTGGGATATTAAATGTGGGATACTAAACTTTATATGTATGTTTATACATATATATATATGCTACATTAGGGATGCCTTGGGGTAATGTATTACATAGCTATGCAGCATGGTCCATGTGTTGTTCTATGAAAAATACCCGTTTTAAGATGGTGGTTGTCCATAGCCATGTTACATTACTGGAGGGTGGGTTATGGTAGGTTTAACTATCACCCATCGGGCTTTAACTACCCAAAAAAGGTTGGATATTCTTCTGAAAAGAAATGCAGCATGAGGTAATGGTTATGGTATATGATGTTGTCAGGATATCATTGGGATATAATTTAATGTAAGCATCCATATAAGATGAATGTGTTGATAAACGTTGATAAAACATGGGAATTGAGTGCATTTTCAGCCGGACCCATCTGAGTCAGGATGGGACAAAAAAACTACCAACTTGGATACCTGAAGAATGATGAGCAAATGTGGAGATGCTAGGGGCACCAATAAGCATGGTGATGACTATGAACCAAGAATGGTGACCCTAGACACCCTACAATGAAGTTCATGTCAAATCAGTGAGACTAGTGACCTTAGTGGGGTAATTCTCAGGAACTTCAAGTCGATTCGACCCCCGAAACGCCCACCAAAAAAACAAGAACAAAGGGTGGCGACCCCCTGACGATGACGGTTGAATAAGCCGAAGTTTAAAAAAAAGGGGGGAAGGGCTTGATGGTGGTTCATGGTCTTTTTCAAAATACCTCAAATCCAGCCATATTCGACTATCAGAGTGTATACCCAACAAGACATCCACATTTGTGCTGCTGAAATTCCAGGCTTTGCTGATCAAATATGAAAAATCATCACCATTTTTATCCATGTTTGCTGTTGAAAAATTATATATATATATATATATGTGTGCGCGTGTATGTGTTAATCTATCCATTTTTTTCCTGGATACACCACCATTTGTCCGACAATCGGATTCCAATGTCTGAATGAAACCGGAGAAATCCCATGAAATCCCCATTTGAACCATGAAAACTAGCCCTATTCCATCCCAGCCATCCCATGAAGCGGTTGTTGAGCAAATGTGTTCATGAAAAATTCCCCATTGAACATATGGAACCGCCTTGTAAAACTCTCCATTGGGAATATTCAAACACATAGGGGTTTCCATAAATGGGGGTGCCCCTAGTTATCATCCATAGATCGGATTTTCCCTTATAAACCCTACATTTAGGGGTACCACTATTTATGGAAACCCCTATATATATTTACCCCCATAACCAATCAACCCCGCGGGTATCTCCGTTAATGTCCTCCAAGAGACCGAACAATGCGTTCCGAAGGCCCACAGCCGCACTGCGACCGACGCGCGCGTAGAATCGTGGTGCGAAGGGTACCACCTGAACGCTCAGCGTGAATTTCTGATGCGTTTTTCATCAAGAAGTGTGAATCTATGGAAAATATGTATCTGGTTGGTGGTATACCTACCCCTCTGAAAAATATGAGTTCGTCAGTTGGGATGATGACATTCCCAACTGAATGGAAAAATACAAAATGTTCCAAACCACCAACCAGATACGGGTGTCTATAAGGGAAGTTGATGAAAATTGGCATTCACCCAAGTTATTCCCATGTTGGTGATATTCCCCTGATATTCCATATATAATGGGGAAGATCTATATATGGGAATCAGCATTACAACAATGGAAGGGGAATATCACCAACATGGGATTACTTCAGGGGCCTATGATTCCTCCGAATCCTACAGTCATCATTCTAGTGATGTCACACTTGCATTGTGATTCAGCCAGATGAATGGTTTCTAGTTATCCCAAAAATGAAAGGAATCCTAACATCATTGTTTTTTTCAAAGATCCCGAAAACTGGAAAATTCAAGTCAAATTCTGGTGAACACCATAGGTTTTCCCCATGGTTTTGACATGTTTTGCACATGATCTGGTTGGTGGTTTCAACCCCTCTGAAAAATATTAGTCAGTTGGGATGATTATTCCCAATATATGGAAAAATAAAAAAATGTTCCAAACCACCAACCAGTGATTTCATGATGAAAACCGATGTTTTCGCCACGCCTGGGAACACTTCGCTCGCTTCGCCAGCTGTGGACCGCTGCCAGGGATTGCTTCGCTGCTAAGGTGGCCTTCAGCCTGGGCAAGCAGCAACTTCATGGTGATTTAATGGTGATTTAATGGTGGCTTAATGGTGACTTAATGGTGACTTAATGGTGATTTAATGGTGATTGAATGGTGACTTAATGATGACTTAATGGTGACTTAATGGTGACTTAATGGTGACTTAATGGTGATTTAATGGTGATTGAATGGTGACTTAATGGTGACTTAATGGTGACTCAATGGTGATTTAATGGTGACTTAATGGTGACTTAATGGTGACTTAATGGTGATTTAATGGTGATTGAATGGTGACTTAATGATGACTTAATGGTGACTTAATGGTGACTTAATGGTGACTTAATGGTGATTTAATGGTGATTGAATGGTGACTTAATGGTGACTTAATGGTGACTTAATGGTGACTTAATGGTGACTTAATGGTGATTTAATGGTGATTGAATGGTGACTTAATGGTGACTTAATGGTGACTTAATGGTGACTTAATGGTGACTTAATGGTGATTTAATGGTGATTGAATGGTGACTTAATGGTGACTTAATGGTGACTTAATGGTGATTGAATGGTGACTTAATGGTGACTTAATGGTGACTTAATGGTGATTGAATGGTGATTGAATGGTGACTTAATGGTGACTTAATGGTGATTGAATGGTTATCTAATGGTTATCTAATGGTTATTTAGTTATTTTTCATGGGATCTAAATTGGGATCATGGGACTGGATATTTTTTGGTGGCAAAAACCATGCCATTTTTACCACCCATGATTGGGATCATGACTGGCGATGACTGGGGGATACTGGGGGATGGAACCCCCAACTGCGCCCAACTGCGGAGCCAAGAGGGGACCCTGACCCCGGACCCCGTTCTCTTGGGCCCCGCAACCAGCTGAAGCTCCCTGCGTTCCACGGTTTCCGACTCTGGCGCAGCAGTCCGCGGACTGTGGAAGAACCTGAAGGGCTGGCAGCTGTCTAGAAAGATTTGATGGTTAAACCACTAATGAGTGGTTAATAGTGGTTAATAGATGTTAATAGTGGTTAATAGTGGTGAATATTAAATTGAAGATTTGTGTGGTTGTTAGTGGTCAATATTCACCGCTATTATGGTTAACCACTCATCAACATGCTGGAAAGATGCAAAGCTGACTTGAAGTCCTTCCAGTTTACACTTGAATAATCTGAGTTTCAAAAAAATGCACGTGCATTCACTTGCAACAACAAATATCTGGCTGCAATTCACTTCACCATACGTCTTACTGGAACATTTAAGTGGGCCATTAGTCTTGAGAAACAATGGATTGGTTTAAGGGAAAATCTACAGGAAACCATCAATTTTCCCATTAAATAGGGGGTTTTCCAGTAAATTTTCCCTTAAACCAATCCATTGAGAGAAACATTTACAAGGATGATACGGGTTGAAGTTCAATTCATGTCTAGATCGTCTAGAGATACCCTCTGAAAAAATCATCGAACTATTTCTGGTGGATTTTCCAGCTGACAGATTACCGGATGGTAAATTCATTTATCACCATCATTAAGTCAATCATTGTTATTGTTATTATTACAGTATTATTGTTATTATTATTATTATTATTTGTTATGATTATTAATTTATGATTATGATTATTACTATATTATTATCGTTATCATTATCACGATCATTATCATTATTATCATTAGTTTATTAGTATTAAAATTAATATATACTGCAACCATTATTAACCATCAATTCATGAATTTCATTACCGGTGGATCCATGACGCCGATCTGACGATCTCACCGCTGCCACTGTTGCCACTTCATCCCCCCGCGCGCACTGGCGTTGATGAGGTGTTCCAGTGCCAGGACATCACCATAGGCCTGGCAGGGACAGATTTGGTGGCCCTTGAATGATGGGCCACAATGAAAAATAATTAGAAAATTATAGAATATTTCCAAAATATTTCCGTTCAATGATTTTTTTTCCTTTCGATGGTCTATGGATGGAAAATAATGAAAAAAAGATTCGTTTCGGATTCTCGAAATGGCCAACCATTTCTCTGAAAACGAGCCAAAGGCTGATTCTTTGACCAAGACGCATCCATGATGTTCACTAAGTCTGTCAACGTTACAGGCCAGTCTGAGGAATCCTCAGCAACGGCCGTTCTGCATCGTTGATCACAGGTCAAAGGAAACGCGAAAGATCAAAAATCCGTGGTGTCACCTCTTGTTCACATTGGAAAATGCTGGAAATCAAGGCAAATCTTGATTTAAAATGTGTTTGTGAACTCCATCTCAAATGATTTTTAATTATAGAATCTATAGACCATTGAAATATGAGAAAATATCATCCATCTATAAAAAAACAACATCTTCACGTTTCAACCGGCCAACTCTCTGTGGCAACTTGTCACCGAGGGACCAGGAATTCCATCCAGCGGTGTTCCGAGTGCAAGAACCACCGGATGGCCAGCAGGGAGTGCTTCATCGACGACAGCAGATCCGGGGCCTTGGGATTGCTGAACTTTGGACAGAAAAACCCAAGGACACATGGAACATGGATGAAATATGGATGAAACAAATTAATTTTTGTTTAAACAAAAACTCAGAAAAGATTGAAAGGTTTTTTGTGATAAATCTGCATCTGTTATTTTCTTGGAGAATCTTATTTTTAAGATAGTCACACCCTCGGAAGATCACCTTAAAGTTGACCTTCGGAAATCAACCGAGCCGCTTCCAACGGAGGGTTCTTTTTGGTCAAGGGATGATCTCCTCTTTCTCTGGAAAATATCTAGTCTATGAGTCGGCTGAAACAACCAATGAAGTCCAATTCCAAGTGCGAAAAAAGAGCGAAAAAAAGTTGCGCGAGCAGAAAATATGAATATATCATATGATATGCCATAATATGGCGAACAAATACCCTGTATCTATTGATTCTGTTGCATGGAACAGTGGGCGAAAGCTCCTCATTACTCGGTAACCTGAAAAAATAATCTTTAGCTCGGAACGGCAGTCTATGTCCCGATTTATGCCAAGCAACTGATATTAAAGGTATAAAAGCATGAACATACATGAACATACCAAACCAAGCCTGACCCAAGTAGTGTCGCAAATCCTAAACCATCGATTTTTTCCGACACTGGGATCCTTCAAAACCAGCCTGAAAGAGTCTCTTTACCCATTGCCCCCTGTACCAACTGAGAAAGATCATCCAAGTAGGGAAATATGTAGTAAGAAATACCCATCAAAAGGCTCCCAAGGTCCCAAAGGCACATCTGTGGAGGATCCTTTTACAATCTGGGGGATACCCTCTGGTAAACAGCCACATAACTATGGAAAATCACTATGGATATAACGGGAAAACCCACGATTTCTATGGCCATTTCCAATAGCTTTTTGTATGTTTACCAGGCCGGGTATCCCCCGAATGTTGATTTTTATAGTTGATTTACCCATTGAAAAATGGTGGATCTTTCCATGGTGATGTAAACGTTTACCAGAGACGAAGAGGTCACCTATTCGTGCTATTCTGAGCCAAGGCGAAGTAGACCATCTCGACATTATGATGCATGGGTATCTATCTACACATATTATATATATATATATTATGTATACAGTATATGTATATGTGTATATATATATATACTATGTGTGTTCTAGATACCATTCTGCATATCATAAAATAGTGATCTCATTGTATCCATGTATATTGTATAATATTGTATGTATATATTATTAGGTCATGTGGTAAACCCTATAATAAACCATCCCTTAGTTTACCACTGTAACTAGTCAGACATGGCTTGACGATGCTTGACGGCTTGACGTGCCAAGCAGCATCCAGCTGCTGCGGATGTCGGAAGAGCCTTCCCGGGCCGGGCCCGTGCTTGTCAACCGCTAGCTGGAAGTTGTGGATGTTCATCCCCTGCAAAAGTATGGTGTAATTATGGTATAATATAATAGTTTTAAATCCCAAATGGGTCCAACATGTTCCAATTGTGTCCATCATCGAAAGGTCTTGAGAAAAGTCGAGAAACTGACACCTTTTCAGGTTCACAGGTATGTACCCCAAACCCACCACACTCAACGCAGTGACTGGGACACCCCGCATGCTGAGGATACATGCAAAGATGGATGCGGATCCATACAGGCAGGCCGAATGCACAGTGCCTGGCTGGGTAACATGTAGGGTCCCATGTCTTTTACCCGATGGCATTGAAGGTTGAAAATGATCCCAGATAGTAAAAATTGGAGGGATTACCATCAAAAATTGTGATTTCAGATGGTTTCGTCATCCGTTTCAATGGGGATATCTAGTAGTGATATAGATATCAAAATGTTTTTATATATACTACCACCCAAGATAGATATCAAATATTTTCAGTAATACTGTAGCTGGAGCCCCAAAATCAAACCAGATCCAATACTAAGCAACCATTTGCAGCGAGGCAACTATTAACTATATAATACTAGGGGAAGAATTTTGTCTAAGTAGTCCCATCTTCCTAATATTAAACAACCCCTAAAATGGTCCCAAATATGTGAAAGTTCCCCATAAAACCATAAAACCATGATTGCTCGGGTGGTTTTAATGAACGAGGGATGGGATTACTCTGATTGAATATATGCGGCTACTCCCGCTATAAAATGCTAGCCCCTCAAATATTTGAGACCCTTTGTAATTTAAGAAGTATGGAAAATCACCAAGTGTTTTAAGTTGTTATCATCTACAAACTAACAGGGCATCTATTACCATAGTGATGTAACAAATCTCCGAGGCTATGACCACAGAAATCATGACAGTTCCTGCACGCTTCTGACTGGTGAATTACCAGTGAATCTGTGGTCCTCTGGGGGCGTAAAATTGGGGATCCCTCAAAACCATTGAACATCTATGAGACCGTATCTGGATATATTTGTTGGGAATAACATCCAACTGCATTTCATGCAATTTCTATATAAACCATATACATCAAACAGAATGATCATTGTTATTGTGTCACAGTATTGACACGTTGTTAATTTAGAAAAGAAAAAAAACAGCAAGTTTGGGCAATCCTCCCTGCCAACCATCATGCTGGGCAAATCACAATGACTCGCACATTTGAACATGTTGATTCAAACAATCCTAGCTATCATCCATGTTGCGGTCACCCAATGAGATCACAAGATAACTAACCCATCTCACTGTACAAACACACACATATATATATATATTATATAAATATACAAACATACCTTATTGTGTTGTGCCTGCTTAGAAAATGGATTTACCCGAACCTAGAACCATTTTCGAATATGGAAAATTATGAAAACCGGTCCTTTCTGGGCCCCCGACTTGAGACGGCAGCTTGACACTCCTCCTCTGGTGCTGTTTTTGAGTGCATTTTCTGTGTTGTCGTCAATGCGAACCATTGCAAATAATGTGGTAAACCCAATGCCATTAAAGAATGACATACCATCTGGGGATGCTTTGAACACCACAAACTTATGCTAATTATGCCACTGTTTGGGTGCATTTATGATCAAAATCCAGGAGGCTATGTTGGCGAAAATTAGGAAAATTAGTGGTAAGTCACAGGACCCAGGGATCCTGTTGCGGTCAAGAACAACACAAATGGGTGAGGTTCTTGGATGAAACTACTGGGATGGGGATCAACATCTACTAGGTTATTGTGGGTTGAATTGCGTGAACGGATTTTAATAACCCGAATCTATAGTTGCATCTAAACTATACAGCGCATGTTTGCGCGCAAATCAACAATTCCCGAAGTCCACCCAGGGCGGCCCATGATTTGCTTCGGTCCTGGGTTTCTTCCCGCAAGATCTTGTCCAGGCGAGGTTCACAGTAGTATTGTTCCTGCTGTGCAAAGCACAATTTGTTTCTTAAATCCAAGCGATTTGTGTCATGTGTTGGCGTGAATCATTCCAACGGATGGGCGGCCCTGAAAATCAAATTTTCAAAACCGCTGCGGGAAAAAAACATCGACGACAAAAAACCGGTTTCAACAAAACAATGGTTGCTGCAGCTGTCGTGTGTCTGTGTGTGTGTTGGATTTTCTTTGCTTGGCCTCGCGCGACTTCTTTCATATTGTTCAGATCATTTCATTTTTTTCTTTGTTCAGCAGCTTAGCTTTCGCAAAACACAGGAAAAAAGGGCTCGCAAAATCGCCTGCTGCCGAAAACATCCTATCATGTGGCCGCGGGCTCTTTGTAGCTCCTGGGTTCCCCCCAACTAAATCTGGGCAAGTTACTCTAGTTCTTAGCTCGTCTCCCGCTCAATTCCTCCGTGGATTTAGCAGCTCGCCTCGTTAATTCGATTTTTAAAAAAATATGCGACGTGCCTCGTTGCCTTTGAAGTTCAAGTGTGGCTACATCCGGCAGTCGTCCCTTTTTCCTTCTCCTTGTGCAGCTACTTGCGTTTTTTAGGGTTTACTCGTTGAGTGGACGATGGAGAAAAAAAAACGTTTCAGAGTCAGAGGCTGAACAATTTTTTTTCTGGTTGCTTGGCCGCAATTGCAACGCTTCTATCAGATCTAGAGGGAATATTTTTTCAGTTTATGGAAAGTGTTTTTTACATATTGCTTTGGCCCCAGCATGTGGCTGAGGGCTAGGAAGCACCAGCGTGCCAAGGCTGTGGGCCAAAGCAATATGTAAAAAAAAACTTTCACAAGCACAAAAGTTTATATGTTCCCCTCTAGACCTGATAGACGCATTGCAATTGCGGCCAAACAACCAGAAAAACAAATCAGCCCCTGAAGAGTTTTTTGTCCGTGGGCCACTCAAAAGTAAGTAGTAGTTTGTGCGGATGTAGTGGGGGATATGC